CCAGACAAGACCGCCGCCACACACCTCTGCCTCGCAAGCATCCTGCGCCCTCATGGCCATATCATCACCGTGGAGGCTCTGGCTCGGGCTCGTCCTTTGCCATGCGCACCAACCAACATACATCACGTATGCATGGGTGAGCAGCATCGCGATTCGGCTCGCCCTTGGCTCTTGGAAACATAACTGACGACGGCCCAACAGCCGCTGCTTCCGCAGTCCGCCTCGCTTCCCAGCCAGCCAGCACCCCGTGTCGACATTTCCTGCTTTTTGCTCGTCTAGTCCCAACTGTCTGGCTTTCGCCTCCACCAGCCGACATATTGGACATGCACAAGCAATGGCTGCACCCTTCCCGTCGCCCCCTCCTCCGGCTCTCTTCCGTCTCTCTTTCGTGGCCTCATCCCAAGCTGATCGCCCCCGCCCTCCCGTCTGAGACCTCTATCACTGCGGCCCACGGCCACCAGTATTTCTCATAACCCCCGACGGAGATGTCAAGCTGTCCTTTTGAGGGCTACATACCATCCTGACCCCTCTCATCCCACATCTCTGAAACGCCGACCCGACGATTTGGTTGCTCCTCTCTTTGGCCCTATCCAGCGCAGGGCTCGCTCTGGCTGCAATACAGCCAAATACTGTATGCTCACGCCATCGCCATGTCAAGCAACCAGTATGACAAGGGCGGGCTGGGCCTCTCTTGTCCCGAAGGCGGCCACTTCTACACCTGTGAGGGGGATACCACAGAGTTCATCGGATGCTGCAACTCTAACCCCTGCGGCGACAATGACGGCAACTGTCCTACAAGCGACCTCCGCGTCTCCTCCTTCTCATCCGACCGCTACGCTAACATACCCGCCCAGAGCTGCGATGATGCCCGCGGGGTTCGCATCTGGTGGACGTGCCGGGACAACAAGCCGCCCTTCCTGGGCTGCTGCGCAGCACCCCTGCGGCGAGGGTTGCCCGCAGGACCACCTCATCGCTGCCGTCCTGTCGCCCAGCGATGAAGACCGGCTGCCGTTCTTGCCATCGCCAGCAACGACGACGTCGGTCTCTAGCCCGCCCGCGTCGTCATCGACTTCGAGCCCAAGCGGCGGGGCCGGGAGCGGCGGTTCGTCAGGACTGTCCAGCGGTGCTATTGCCGGTATCGCCATCGGTGCCGCTGCCGGGATCGCTATCCTAGCCGTCATCATCTGGGCTTGCTTTCGACGCGCACGGAAGAGTCGAGAGGAGGGCCACACGGAACAACCCACGTTCAGCCCGGAAATGGGCTCTCAAGGTTCGCCCTTTGATAAGACTCGACGTAGGTACCCTCGTATTTCATTTGACCTTTTGTCGTCACAGTCCAAAAAAAAGAAAGCAGAGCATGCCAATACGAACCGTGCTGACCTTTCCCAGAATCTCAGCTCAGTTACGCAACAACAGCAATACCACCCTCATACGGCTCGACACCCGGCTCGCCAGAAGGACAGTTCCAGGATGCGCATTACATACATTCGCCAACCTCGACGTCTCGGACCTACTCGCCCTACAGCCAGCATAAAGATGTCGAGCGTACACATTCTCGCCACATTAGTGTCGTATCCGGCGTGTCTGCCTTGTCTGGAGGCATCGAGTCGAACCTGCACACCGTATCAGAGATTGACGGCATTGAGCGGCAGGCGCCCGTGGTTGAGCTGCCAGCTGATGAAGCGCCGCTGAACACACAGATTTCGTCGTCGCCGTCGCCGCCGCCGCCGCTAGGGTCACCAGGGTGGCCTTCGTCAAGGGGGGTGGAGGCGCCGGGCAGTCCGGGGCGGTGGACGACGAGGTAACATGATGGCAATGGAGTGATGGATATTTAATTGCTTGGAATTAGGGGGAAATAGCTTGATACCAATTGTAATCACCCACCTGCTGTACGGCAGGTATTCTCAATCGTTTGAGGGAATGTTTGCGTCTCGCTTGTCTAATGGATTTGGGAGGATGATAACTCATTTTCATTTCGGAGCATTGAACTGCGTCCTAGTACGTGTGTAACTTCCGAGTCTAATGGCGCAAGCAACTCCGTCATTCTCTCTCATCGTACCATATTGCAGCCTTCATTCTGCCATTAATCATTTCGCCTCGTCAAAGTTGGGCGAGTCGTAAATATCATCCGGATCTGCCTCCAATTAGTTCAGCGCTCACAGAGTGCGTGTACACGGCGAAGAAAGCTGACCTTTGCCCTCATTGTTGATGAAGTCCCGAATCGTCTCAACGCGGCCATCGATCTCTTTCAACAGTCGGTCCAGCTCCGTCCTCACCTTGTCATTGAATGCGGCCCCGCCGCGAAGCGCCCTCGCGGCGACGTCAAACCGACTGACGCAGTTGACGAGCATCATGTCAAACGGCGTCGTCGTGCTGCCCTCCTCGCGATAGCCCTCAATACTGATGCGGTCCATGTTCGGCCTGCCGAAAAGCAGGCCCTGCAGCTCGGTGGCGTAGCCGTGGTAGTTGAAGCATACGGGCCTGTCGGCGGTGAACATGGCTATGAACTCGTCGCGCGTCAGGGAGTGCGGGTGGCGCGACTCGGCGACGAGGACCATGAGGTCCGTGACGTTGACGACGCGGATCTTGAGCGACGGGGCCAACGTGCGCAGGAGCTCGGCGGCCTTAACAACTTCAAAGGTCACCTCGACGCCGATGCCGACGAGGACAACGTCGGGCTGGTCGCCCTCTGCAAGTGGGGTGGAGGCGAAAGGCCAGATGGAGGCGCCGGCCTGGCAATGCTCATCGGCGTCTTCGGGGGAGAGGAAGGTTGTAGTCGGCTGCTTGGAGCCGATCATTAGGTTTACGTAGTTTTTGGACTTCAGACAGTGGTGGACTGTGCTAAGGAAACAGTTGGCGTCGGGGGGCAGATAGACCTGGGGTCTTGTTAGTGACGGTCCCAATGGAGGGAATCTTGATGGGACTTGCTCTTGCGGCCTCGGCCTTGATGTTCAGGACGGCTCCGATGAATGAGGGGTTCTGGTGGGAGAAGCCGTTGTGCTCCTGGCGCGCCCAGGTGCTCGTTTCGATGTAGTTGATTGATGCCAGGTCACCGCGCCACTCAAGCGACTGAGCGATCTTGCTGAACTTGGCGTACTGGACCATCATCGTATGGACGATTCCTTTGAACGTGTTAGTCATACTTGAACGAAGAGATACAGGTGTTCAAATACCTAAGAACGATTCATAGCTGGGAAACAGAGCGACTCGTCCGGTGAGCGTGTAGCCCTGCATGAAGCCCTGGCAGCAGTGCTCTGACAGAATCTCAATGACGCGGCCCCCCTTGTTCCTCGAAAACTCGTCCCACTGGAAGTTGCGCCCCGTATGTTCGAGAACAGCTCCAAACTTGTTGCTTTCCAGCTCGTCGGGTGAGAACATGCGGAAGGTGTGCGGATTGTCTTGGATGACCCGGTCAAGGAACTTAGCCGTCGCCTCCATCTCGCTGTTCTGGTGACCGCGTTCGACACTGAATGACTTCCAGTCAGGAAGATCTAGACCGATGTAAGGCTCATGTGTTGGCTTGAACTGTCCAAGTTTCTTCGCGTCCGTTTTGGGGAGAATGTCGAGGATGGTGTTGTTCGGCTTTCCGTCGGTTAAGAGATCGTTGATCTTGTAGTACGACAGCCACTCCTTGAGATTGCGGAGATGGCTCTCGTCCGTTTTGGCCTTCTTCAAAGGAACCTGGTGCGAGTTGAACGATCCTTCGACAATCTTACCGTCAACCTTTTTGGGTCCGCTCCAGCCCTGGAATTGTGAGTAAGTTGCGACTTTGATAAATCTTTGAGATGGGAGTTCCTACCTTCGGGGTCCTCATCACCAGCATGGGCCATCGGGGCTTAGAAATTGGCTCTCCAAACCGCGCAGCCTTTTGGATCTTCTTGATCTCAGAAAGTGCCCACTCCAGTGCGTTCGCGAGGTCTTCGTTGATATTGGCGAGGTCCTGGACAATGCAAACCTGGTAGCCGTAACCGCTGAAAAGCGAAACTATCTCCTTGTCGTCCATGCAGCCAAAGATGGTGCGCTCGCTAATCTTGAAGCCGTTTACGTGGAGGATGGGGATGACAGCGCCAGACTCTTTTGGGTCAATATACTTGATGGCGTGCCAGGCGCTGCTCAAGTTAGCTTTCAGGTTGTAAATCAATGTGACTCCCGAGAAAGACTCACGCTGCTGTAGGTCCGCTCTCCGCCTCACCATCTCCCACCACGCAAGTGACAATCAGGTCAGGATTGTCCATGACGGCACCAAAGGATACCCCCAGAGCATAGCCGAGCTCGCCGCCCTCGTGGATGGAACCGGGCGTCTCCGAATTGATGTGGCTGGGAAAGCCTCCAGGCACAGAAAACCCGCTGATAAGGTTCGAGAGACCCTTCCTGTTGACGGGATATTGCTTTGGATAGAAGCGCTCGAGGGAGCCTTCGAGCCAAAGAGAGGCCAGGGCGGCAGGCGCTCCATGGCCGGGACCGATGACATAGATCATCTCGAGGTCGTGGTTGCGGATCAAGAGATTGAGGTGTGACCAGACCAGAATGAGGCCGGGACACGTCCCCCAGTGACCTTGAGGTATTAGCATCAGTTGAGGAGTAACGGCGAAAGGGCCTTACCGAGGAGTCGTGGCTTGACATGATCGAACGTGAGGTCTGACTCGAGGAGAGCATTGTCCTGCAGGAAGATCATAGCAGCCGCGATGTAGCAGGCGGCATTCTGGAAGTCTTCAAGTGATTGGGCTACATCTTTGTCAAGTGGCTTTCTCTGGAGCTTGACTGCAAGGTTCAGGACCTCGTCAGGCAGCTGTGACGGCAGCGCCGATGGATTGGGACGGTCGATGACCTCTCCCGGCATTGTGAATCGCGATGATGTGGGCGACTGATTCGTTGAAAGATTGATTGGCCACTCGCAATCAACAAACGCCTGCCCAGTTTGTCTTGAAATTATGGTCTGTCAATGATGAATTTCGGCAAATGGGCCAGTGGCAGGGTGGGATTTGATGCTTGGGTGAATGATCTTCAAGAACACACTGCTGGTGAGATGGAGCAACACGGTTTTTCGGCATGGAGAAACGGCTTCCTCGGAAGCCAGGTACCCAGTCTGGCTGGGCTGGCTATGGTTCAAGTTGTTGATAATGGAGGGAGGTTGAGCAGCAATGACGTCGATGTGGAGGGATAGAGAGCAGGCTGGAGGTGTTTTCTCGAGCTATCACAGCCAGTCAGGACAAGCACGCTCTGTACTCCGGACTTGGCAGTCAATGGTCGCAGGTGGAGTTTCGCAACGAGATCAGGATGGAGAGGGAACCCCATAACGTGAGGGCCCTGTTCCCAAATGATTGAGCCATGACGGCGGTGGCCTGGTTGCGTGGGATGCACCTCAACCATGATCGTGGCGATGGTGGACAACAAGGGAAAGCTACAGGGGACGATGCAGCTGTGCCCCTCGCTAAGCCTCGGTAGGACTAGCGCTGATGCACGCTGGAGCTTCAGGCCCGCGCGTCACTCGACGACTGTTCTAGGGTACCTACCTTGAGAACTCGGGTACGATGCTCCTGCTACAGAGCAGATTGACTCGGTGTGCATCGGTGTAGCTTCCTAGGTTCACATGGCGCGGTGTGGAGCCTTCGGACCAAACGCCCCGGGTCCGGCCCCTCTTCACCTGTCCACCATCGACGAAATACCATGCACACCATTGCAAACACCCATTTGTGACATCAGCATTGCGATCTCGATGCTCGACAGCCCACCATTCTGCAACTGCCGTGTCCCACGTCCGGACGAGATAGCTTTTTGTCAATGGAAAGCATTGCATCTCCGTATCGAATCACAATGTTGCTGTTACCAATCTCCACCCTCGAAGCATCGATGGCGCATCAAACGAGGCATGAGGATGCCCACTGGGACGCGGTCACAGAGAATCATTGACGTCAACCTTGTGTCTTTCGTTCTCTGTGACACTTCTCAGGCTGTCCATTTAATCACACCGCCGCTCCTACCAAACCAAGGTGGTGCCGTGTAACTCATCCTCTGCAGAATCAGTCCTTCCACGCACGACCACTTAGTCCAGTCAACCCCTTCCTTCGGTCAGACTTGGCATACCAGAATGGCTCACGTTTCTCAACCTGCTCTCTCTGAAGGCCTCAAGAGGGTACAAGAATCCATCATGGCATCCGCAAACACCGCCACTGGTGGTTCCAACAGCACCAGCAACCCTAAGATCGCCCAGCTTGAGGAGCATTCCAGGACGCCCGACCAGGACTCGCGGCTCACAACCGACTACGGCGTCAAGCAGAACAACACAGATGATTGGCTCCGTATTGTTAGCGACGACCATACTGGTCCGGGACTACTCGAAGATAACGCTTCTCGTGAGAAGGTCCGTCGAGTTTGCTTTCCCAGCTCACTCCCACAGCTGACGTTAACTTCTGGCTAGATCCACCGATTCGATCACGAGAGGATCCCAGAAAGAGTTGTTCACGCAAGGGGTGCAGGTGCACACGGTGTCTTTCGCCTGAAGGAGGCCATCCCTGAACTCACCCATGCCGGATTCCTTACCGACACGTCTCGCGAGACACCCATCTTTGTCCGCTTCTCTACAGTCCTCGGTAGCCGCGGCAGTGCCGACACTGTCCGTGATGTTCGAGGATTTGCTATCAAGTTTTACACCCAAGAAGGCAACCATGATATTGTTGGAAACAACATTCCCGTTTTCTTTATCCAAGGTTGGTGGCTTCCTTTTTTTTTTTTTTTTCGCAGTCCAGCAACCAAAGCTAATGGGACTTCCATAGACGCCATCAAATTCACCGATGTCATCCATGCAAGCAAGCCCGAGCCTGACAATGAGGTCCCTCAAGCTCAGTCCGCCCATAACAACCATTGGGATTTTGTTGCACTGTAGGTTTATGTCTTCTCGTGAGTTCTTTAGTTCAAGGCTGACAGGCGCTAGCCACACCGAGGCAACCCACATGTCGCAGTGGACTATGAGCGACCGCTCGATTCCTCGTTCATACCGTATGATGCAGGGATTTGGCGTCAACACTTACACCCTCATCAACGACAAGGGAGAGCGCCACTTCGTCAAGTTTCACTGGACACCTGAGCTTGGCGTCCACTCCCTCGTGTGGGACGAGGCCCTCAAGTTGGCCGGCCAGGACCCCGACTTCCACCGGAAGGACCTCATGGAGGCCATCGAGAATGGCGCGTACCCGAGGTGGAAGTTTGGTATTCAGGTGCTGCCTGAGTCGAGAGAGCACGAGTTTGACTTCGATATCCTCGATGCCACTAAGCTCTGGCCCGAAGATGATGTACCCATCCGCTATATCGGAGAGCTCGAGCTCAACCGCAATGTCGACGAGTACTTCCCCGAGACTGAGCAGGTCGCTTTCGCCACTGGCCATGCTGTTCCTGGCATTGGCTTCTCCGATGACCCCCTTCTGCAGGGCCGGAACTTCTCCTACTTTGACACCCAGCTCTCGCGCCTTGGCGTGAACTGGCAGGAGCTTCCCATTAATAAGGCCGTCTGCCCCGTCATGAGCAACAACAGAGATGGCGCAATGCGTCATACCATCACCAAGGGCAAGGCTAACTATTGGCCCAACCGCTTTGAAGCGAACCCTCCAGCGGCCAAGGCTGAGGGTGCGTACATTGAGTACCAGCAGAAGGTAGCTGGCATTAAGGCGCGCACCAAGAGCGCCAAGTTTAAGGAGCATTACAATCAGGCTCAGTTGTTTTACAACAGCATGTCTCAGGTGGAGAAGAACCACATGGTCGCTGCCTTCTCCTTCGAACTCGACCACTGCGATGATCCCATTGTCTACGAACGATACACTCAGCGCCTCGCCGACATTGATCTCGGCCTCGCTCAAGCCGTCGCCGAGCAGGTTGGCGGTCCCATTCCCCAGAAAGCCGGTCGTCCGAACCATGGTAAGAAGGCCAGTGGCCTCAGCCAGTTTGATTACATACCGTCGACGCCAACAATCGCCTCGCGCCGCGTCGCCATCGTCATCGCTGACGGCTACGATGCCACAGCCTTCAACGCCGCCAAGGCCGCAGTCACAGCTGCGTCGGCACTGCCCTTCGTCATCGGTACCCGCCGCTCGGAAATTTACCCCGCCGGTGCCGAAAAGAAGCCTGGCAACGGCGTGGTGCCGGCGCACCACCTTGAGGGCCAGCGGTCGACCATGTTCGACGCCCTCTTCCTCCCCGGCGGTGAGGAGTCATTCAAGACTCTGCGCAAGAGCGGTCGTGCCATGCACTGGATCCGCGAGGCGTTTGGACACCTCAAGGCCATCGCCGCCACGGGCGAGGCTGTCGAGCTCGTCAATGCTGCCATTGCGCTGCCGGAGATCAAGGTCTCGCAGGGTGGAGTTGAGGAGAACTACGGCGTCATCACACTGAAGGACGTCAAGCATGACAGTCTTAAAGAGAAGGTCGAGATTGCTAAGGACGGTGCTGGATTCCTCGAGCAGTTCTTCTATGCCATTTCGCAGCATCGTGCTTGGGCGCGTGAGCTCGATGGGCTGAATGTCCAGGTAGCCTACTAGAGAGGAGTTGGAGTGACTTTCCTAATACCCCATATTCTCAAAGTGTCTGACGTCTGACGGAGAAGTTTGCCTGATGTGATGTCTGTAACCGTACCGATCCTCCAGGAAGGGCATTCCGTATGCTCCATGAACTATTCAACAGATGATTTAAAGGGTATCTGATCATTTACACCATACGCAAGACTGCCTGTCAACTGTAAAGACTCCTTTCCCCAGCGCTAAAATCCCAAATGCATCGTGTGTTTCGTCTTAGCCGTTATTCATGTTGTCCATATTGTAATGCATAGGCATGACCGTCATGCCATCTCCATATAGCACATTTGTATCATGCATCTGTAGTGACGCATGCTGTTGCGGATGCTGCTGCTGCTGTTGTGGGTTTGTGCCAGGTTGCTGTCCCCAGAACATACCGTCTAGATCCCACATCCAATCCTGCTCCATGAAAGCAGCGACCTCCATATCCGTGTCAAGCCGAATGGGAGACATGCGGAAGTCAAAGTCCTCCGCCGTCTGTCCCATTCCACCCGTCGATCCATACAGATTGCTCATGTCGCCCTGAGCTACGGGGTTGGCGCCCATCAATTTCGCTGCTGCTGTCAGAGACGGCTGAACCTCTTCGTTCTGACAACTCGCTTCGTACACGCGCCTCACAACCTCTCGGCTTCGACACGCTGTCAGCGACCAGTCTCCGACGGCGTCGAGGATCTCGAGCGTTGTCTCGATCTGGCTCCTCCACGTCTCCACCTCTGCGTTGCCCGGCTGCCAGCACAGCCGAAGGAGTGGAATCATGGCCGCCTGGTATAAGAACCAAGCAGCGTTCCAGCCCAGCATCTGGTTCCGCGTCCACTCCTTCGCGATGTCCTCAATCGTCTGCGCCGCCATGTCAGAGCACGTGTTGATCGACGCAAGGATCTCCTCGTCGTTGAGCACGCCCGACCCAGGCGACGTCCCCGCGTCGGCGGACGACGACACGGACGACGGCGCGTGCGAGGCGCGCCGGTGCGACCGCGCCGGCACCGGCCGCTGCTGGCTCGCGGCCCAGGTGAGGAGCACGGGGCGGTGGAGCAGCATCCTGAGGTTCTGGTAGCGCCACTTCATGACGCAGCGGGCAATGTACAGCGGCTCGGCGCAGGGCTGCGTCGTGCCGAGCAGCCAGGGCAGGCTCTCGTACCAGGTCACGAGCTGCGTGTCCATACTCTGGCGGTCGTCGGTTGAGGGCAGCGAGCTCGCGGCGAGGGTGTCCTGGATCTGTGTGGCGATTCGGCAGAACTTGATGTTTTCGATCATGGGGAGCACGCCGGCGTGCTGTGCTGACTCGGCGGCCTTTGGGAAGCAATTCCGTCAGCCAAGAAGAAAAACGACATAGCGCGGGAAGGAATGATTAGTACGAGGCGACATACCTGACTGATGCCCAGCTCGGGAGACCGGATGTTGATTCCAGGCCCCCGGCGGCCAAAGGAGGGACGGCCCATGGTCGTCGTCGCCCATGTGTCGAGGCAGAACAGGGACCACCATGTCCTCCTCCTGATCTCAGCGGCAAGTACATCTGTTTCTGACAGGCCCTGCGCGAGTGATTCTCGGTGGAGGCCCAGTGCACTCGCCATGCGGACGGCGGCTCCGAGAATCGCGTTGGCCATGTTGGGGCGGTTGATGTAGTGCAGATAAAAGCCTCCGATAATGGCCAGAGCCTGGACCGTCTCGACGCGGCTGGATCCGAAAGAATCAATGGTGAGGTGAGTCATGGCCTGCTGGTACAGCTGTTCGTGATGGAGGTCGCTCGACTTGGTGGCTGCGATGCTGCCCATGGCCAGCACAGCGTGCAGCAGGGCCAGCCACGGCGAGTCGACGCGCTGACCCAGGGAGTAGTCGGCACGGAAGCTTGCCTCGTCGAGCATCGGAATGAAGGCGTGAACCCGCTTGAAGTAGGCGTCGACAAAGGTCTGACCGCGCCATGTCCACGGCACTTTTGCTGCTGGTTTTGACTCGACGGCCGAGGCGCGGCGCATGGCTTCGGGTTGAACGGCGATGGCACCTGTGGCAGCCGCCATGTTGCGAGGCGTGGCGAGGGCATTTCTGAGCTGCGGTTTGAGCTTGAGCATCACCATGAGAACCGCCTTGACGGACGAGGCCCCCAGGTACGATGCCCGCTTGTCCATTGTCAGTGATAGGGCGTTGACGTCGTCCGATTCGACGGGAATGGGTTCATGTTCGCGTCGCTCTTCATCCCATTCCGAGTCCTTGGTCGGCATCTGCTCAAGCTCGGCAGCACCAGGCTCGACCTCTTGGTCGAGTGATTCCTCGTCATCCTCAAGTGGTGAGGGATTGGCAGGCGGGGATGGCAGCACCGCCTCGTCATGAGGTTTCGTGGGATGTCGCAACAGCTCCAGGAGTTCTTCTCGCGTCAGTGGTAGTAAATCGAAAATTTCCTGGTTCGGGAAAAGACGATTGATGACGGATCGGCATTCTTCCAGCGACTGTGACAGATTCTCAAGAACTCTGCGGCAAGCTCTTGTCAGCAACTGCGGGGCGCCACGATCGACAATAGACGATCCGCATAATAAGATTTGGAGGGGGGTCACGTACTTCCTTGATGGCACGACTCGGGGTCGGTGCTTGTCGTAGAAGCACTTCTTTGGCACCCGCGTCGAGATGCATTGTCGGCACGGGTGCTGGCCGTCGCAGCGAATTTTCCGTCGCTTGCATTCGGCGCAGGCTTTGGAGACCTTCACTGTCTTCGTGTCTGAGGCATCAAGACCGCCCAACTGGCTGGCTGACGCCGGCTGAGGGCCTCCCTCGATCTGAACTGCGTGTGGATCAGTATCAGAGGACGAGACCCAAATCAAAGGGCACGGAAAGCCTACAGTTGTGATACATGTCGTCGCCGTTTTGTCACGAGTGGGGATATCGTATCATGAATAACGAAGTTACAATGGCTGAGTGATGCGTCCAAGGGGAGGCGAACGACCGAATGGGGGCTCACAATTGAGCTGACTTGAGAGTTGTAAACCAAAAGATGAGACTGGAAAGGACGTATCAGGGCAGTGTCCCCATATTTTCAGGGAGAGGTGGCTCGGTCGAAGGGGAGTCGAGTGCTTCACATCACGCTGAGAGTTGGTCTCAAAGATGAAGAAAAGGAGGGGGAAGATGGGGGAAGATCTCGGTACCACACCAGGGGACAAGCGCGTCGAATGACTTTATTCGACAGTGTCTGCTAGGTCCCTGGCCTCCTCTCTAGCTCTGGTTCGGCATAAGCTCGAAAATTGAGGGGTGTCGGTGGGGAATCTGGGGTACATGAGAGACGGTACGGTTCGGATAGCCGACAACCCCTGAGGTGCGGAGAAGATGGCAACGATGCGTCCCGCTGGTTGAGCTTTGTTTCCGTCGTGAGGGGAAGCCTGGCAGTGGCTCTGTATGAAGAATTGAGAACCCTGAACTGCAGCCACAAACCGTCGTCGAGAAACCTTGCATACTTCCACCGAGGCCTCGGGGGCGTGTGCCTCGGACTAAGCCATCTAGAGCGGAGATGATGCGGCAGAGATTCAGTCCTGCAGACTTAGCCTCCTCTCAAGACTCGTCACCTGAGCAGAATAAGCCCACGCCGTCCAAAGTCGTGAGGCCTGCGTCGCCGATGCACAACTCCAAAAGAACCAGCCTTTACCCTGCATGTTGGCTGCACGGGAGGCGGCTGGTAGGCATCGTCGCTTGGCCAGGCACAAGACGCTAAGCCTATATCGAGTGCGGATATCCTCTCTCCGCTGTCTCAATAGGGTAAGATGCCAAAAGATGTGCCACCATGTTGGGTCGATAAATGATGCGGCGGCAAATCTGACGACAACATTCGGGCAAGGTGGCATGTTGCCTGGTCTGGTTTGCCTCTTTGCGTCGTCGTTCCGACGTTTCTTTGTTGCTCAGAAGAGTGTGCAGGATCTCGCACACGAAAATTTCTCTCCTCGATGAGAAAGACTCCAAGTCCCGTTGCTGGTAAAACAGTCATGCTCAGAAACACAGAGGACCCAAAGGACAAGGTCGTTCTGGCTGGCATCTCCACGCTTTGCTGTGGAGTCCAACAAATAAACGGCGGGTGAAACGCAAGGGTTCCTTGAACTACTCAGCGCGGCGCAAAGTGACCCTTGAGCGGACTCATTTTTGGTGCTGGAGAATGTAATTCCAGATGGCCGTGGTCCTGGTCTGTGGCTGAGCCACACAATCGGCATCACTACAAGCGGTCTTTTCGGAGCAGCTCCAGAATATTCTTTGGCTCGTTGATTCCGGAACACAGTAGTGATCTAGGGACAGGAGAAGAGGCTCTCAGCTTTCTTGCTACACCCAGCTATATCGCTAGCAATGCTTTGGGTGGTTTTCTGTTTTGATTCCACAGTCTGTACTTCTCCAAGCTCGACAGCTCCCCTGTCCGATCTGCTATAGACGCTACAGCCTCTGAGACACAGAACCAAACCCAATCGCGTCCGGATTCCTTGCGGACTCACACCCGCCATCGCTGACTGCCCGCAATTTTGTGCAGTCTGTCGTGCATCACTGACTCAGAATATGAACTTCCAACCACGGTAGGATCTGCGAAGCGACTACCGGAGTTTGGTGCCACCTTCTTCGTACATTTGCCATCTCTTCACAATGATAGGCCCGGCGCTACCTGCTTTACGGACTGCTGCCGGCGCCGGGAGAGCTGCCTGCGAATTGGAATATGTGTTCTGAATCGTCTCCAAAACTTCGTCCCTGCGGAAGCGACTTCCCAACTTACCGCTGACGGGTTCGTGGCGTATTTGGAGAGGATAGTATTTTGGAAGATTTGATGAGCCGCTGTAGGCACCCCTCAAGGGCATTGATATCAAGTGTCTTCGGGCTTCGGAAGGCAAATTTGCCCTGTTCTCGGGGGCTTCATCATGGTGAGTCGTGGCTTTCTGGTTGGCCGACTTGCGGACTTGATCGCATGCTGCGAAAGCACATTGGCCTCCGACTGCACGCGGAAAGGGAACATCTCGCGAAGCAGCACGAGTTTTCGGGACAGCCTCAACGCGACTATTCGAAGAGGCTCCTGCAGTCCACGTCGTCTTTGGGTTCTCTTTGTTGACCGAACCCTGCCTCATGCGACCTTTGCTGATGTAAATGGGTGTGCTGTTCCTCGATCGCTCTTCTGAGCTCATACTACCGAGCCCCTCATCCCTAACGTTGTGATGGTTCAGTGAGATGTGTTCCCGATGCTCGAGACAAGCGTCAGCGGGCGTGCCCTCTCAGGCACCTGTTCCTCGCTGACGGTGACGGGGTGGCCAAAGAGAGCGGCTCCGGTACGGCTTGCAAAGTTGGACATTTCGACACCGACGACGCCGATCTTGGTTGGCATGTCCATAGTGAGCCAGCCACGAAAGCCGCCGTACCCACCGCCTGTGTTGCTGGCGTCTTCGTCGTTAGGAAGCTCGAAGCCGTGGGTGCTGTTGCCAGGAATGACGGCTGGCATACGACCGCGAACGCGGCTCCAGCACTTCAAGAAGGCGAGTATGGAGCCAATGACGAGAACGCTAACGCCAGTTCCAACGGCAAGGGTGGCGGGGAGGAAGTGGGGTTGCGAGCTGTAAATGAGGCCGACGATGCAGTAAATAGCAATGGCAATCGAGAAAATGAAAACAGACGCAATAATGAGGAATTTCAGACGAGACTGTCGAGTGGTAGGGTCTTCGACACCTTGATAACGAGGTGAGAGCGTCGCGGGGACAATGACAAACTGACTGGGCATTGTCGATGGCGTTGTAAGTGGGAGCAATGATGTTTGATGGGAGGTTGCCGATGATGCAGTGCGAGGACAGGCGTCCATGTTGTAGTTATCATATAGGAGACAACAGCTGCGACTGAACCGTAGAAGGGCAACTCTTGGACTGCTACAGAAGTTTTCGACGTGTTCTGGCAGCTTATTCACGGACAAGCATTGTTGGGTGGTCTACATATTCCTGCCCCAGGCGTGCAACAACAATCCGACACGTGGAAGTCAGTGGAGAAACTCACAAAGGCAGCGGCATGCCCGATGTTGTCAACAAAATAAACTCTCAAGCCGTTTGGTTTCCCGAACGCCACCTATTCTTGGGTAAAGAGATTGAGTCAACTAACTATGCAGAGAAGAGACTGAGGAATCGAGATGTGAAAGCTTTGGAGTAGGCGTATGAATTGCGGCGTGGAAAATGAACTAGACAGCAGTTGAGTAGCGACCCCATGTATCGATAAGAGAGATAGAGTCGGTCCAGAGACTCATCGGACAATACTTGGAAGAATCGGGAATGTTGGTTATCATCTTGTCACTTTTCCATGTCCATCAGTGGAAAGTCACCCATTCCCAGCTCAGCGGTGCTAATGAATGGTGGATCAACATTTCAAAAGGCTGTTTTGCAACAGAATGGGATTTCTAGCCACTGACTGGACGACTACTCATCGCAGGACTCCGGTGTGGGTGTTTTCTGGCAGTGCACGCCTCAAAAGAATCTTTCGCGATCTGTGCTCACCGAGCTGAACACACCGAGATGCTGGCGACAGTGGCCCCGCACCAACTATACAGCCTGCCTCCTGGAGCGCCTCCAGCGTAGACAAACGCGACGCTGTTGGGCACTGCGTACCACCTCTGCCCCTCCCCACTATCAAATTCTGCCCCACGTCGCAACCTGATCGCTGTCGTTTTGACCCATCTGATCGCACTCAAAATCTCCAAACCATTTGCGCTCCTCACGCTCCATCCAAGGCGAGGTCGCGATCTATCGCCCGAGAGCTCTCATTCGAACTCATCTAAGCCCCCTCAATCCGCCATCATGGTCTACTACTTCACGTCCAACGTCGTCGAGCCCTCAGCCCGCATCTACGTCGGCAAGGACAAGTTTGAGAGTGCGTGACGATGCCCTCGCCCTGCCGACACGGACTAGGTTGGCCGATGAACATGAGCCAAGACTGATGCCAGACTCTCCCAGACGAGGATCTCATCAAGTATGGCTGGGAGGAGGACGTGTGGTGAGTTTCGCCCCGGCCGATCCATACCGCCACCGCAAACCCCGCTGACCGCTTCAGGGTATGTTTCTCATACCAAGAGATGGGCGACATCGCATCACTCGTTTCTCGCTGACATGGCCAGTTCCACGCCGACAAGCTCTCGAGCGCCCACATTTACCTCCGCCTGCGTGAAGGCGAACAATGGGACAGCATCTCCCAGCCTCTCCTCGACGACCTCGCCCAGCTCACGAAGGCCAACTCCATCGAGGGTGCGTAGCCTTTTCCGCTCACCGGTGCTCGCCATGCCTGAGTCGACATCGCTTACTTGTCCGTAGGCAACAAGAAGGACAATGTGACAGTCATCTACACCCCATGGTCCAACCTGAAGAAGGACGGTAGTATGGCCACAGGCCAAGTGTCCTTCAAGGATCCCCGCAAGGTTTGTCCTCCCGCCTTCCACATCCTCCTCAATCCAACATGAGCACACCCCAAAGAAAGGGCGGGACTGATAAGGTCTTAGGTCAAGCGTATCCTGGTCCCCCAGCGCGAGAATCCCATCGTCAACCGCCTCAACAAGACCAGGGTGGAGGCGAAGCCCGACTTTGCCCAGGAGCGCGAGGACCGCCTCAAGGAGCTGCGCCAACGCGACCAGGCCGCCATGCTCCTGCGCCGCAAGGAGGAAGCGCGCGTCGCGCTGGAGCGCAAGGAGAAGAAGTATCAAAAGGACCACGCGTACGACGATTTGTTTACTGAAGATGCACTGGAAGGCTCGAGCAACCAAAACAGGGATGCCGACTGGGAAGATGATTTCATGTAACTGCCATGGTTGATCAAAGTAAAAACAGACGAAAAAAAAGTAGAAGAAAGAAAAAGGACGTGGTATTTTCAAGATTAAAACTAAGATCGCTTCGTTTGACTTCATCCTCTACACAAATTGATAAAGGGGGAGGGGGTATCCATCACTCCGTCATCAACATTGGCAGCCGTGACCTGCGCGCCACGTACGCGACGGCGACTGCGGCGCCGAGTCAGCTGCACATCCCGACGCCTAATCGCCCGCCGCCAATCCCTACCGACTCCATAGCCTTCGTCACGTCACCCGTTGACGCGTCGGCAGCTTTATCGTAACTCGCTCTTCCTTTTTCGCTGTGCGCCACGCGGCCCTTGTCGCCGTGTCCCTTACGAGCCGCCTGCGAGCGCGCCAACATGGGTGCCTCGTCCTCGTCCTCCCCCAGAAGATCGCCTAGGTCTTCGTCATCGCGAGGGTCCAGAAAGGGTGAGCTTCCCAGTTCGTCGCCGTCGCCGTACTGCGCGAAACGCTCCTCGGCGTTCATGATTCGCACAATGGGCTCACCGCCAGGCAATCGAACAGTTTCTGCGCCAAGCGTCTCGGCAATGTCAAGAAGCAGCACATCCATGGGGCATATGTACGCCACCATCTTACGCTGACTCCAGGCCAGCACGTGGCCACACACGCGCCCCATCTCGCGATCCATGATCCACGCGCCTGAGTCGCCCGGGATGCCCATGCTCGGCGATGCCATCCCGCTGGTGACTTGGTACGAGTGGCTGGGTGACTGGCGACCGTAGATCCTAATGCTGACCATGGCTGGCAAGATTCGGCCCGACTGCAGACCACTTGTGCGCGCGATACACTGAACCTCTAGACCGGGCAGAGCGGAGGACGGTGTCACGTCCATCGGACGCATGAAATTATCTCCAGTTGGCGCTGTGGCGTCCTTCTTGGTCGTTTTTTTGAAGTGAGGGATAGAGTTGTCGTCGGGTAGCCTCTCTTCATGAAATTCAAAGAGCGCCCAATCGATCTCATGAACGAGTCCGTCCTGCTCACGGCGTCGTATCCCGCTCGATGCGTAGACCTCTCCGAGGCTATACGAGTCAAGGTGATCCTCGTCGGCTGTCTCTGCGCAAGGGTAAAAGTCGTCGTCGACGTCGTCCATGGCCGGCTGCGTCACGACGTATCCCTCTCCGCAACCGGGCTCAACGCCGGGAATATCGCCGGGCTGGCCGTACTCTCCGTCGTCGCTCTCGGACTCGTCATCCGAAGTGTCGCTGGTGATGTCCGTCTCGGATGCTTCCGAGTCGCTGTCCGAAAACTCGCAAGCGACGTCCTCAGATCCACTGTCATCGGCAGAGTCAGCATAGAAGTTCTGGAGAGACATGTCGTCTGGTCTCGCCATACTTCTGTGGGTTGACTCGGCAAGGTCTTTCTGAGGGGCTCGGTCCTGGTCTGGATCGTCGAGCATATGGTGCACTGTCATGCCGTAAGGCTTATCGTCCACGATGACAAGTCCGCCGAAACTAACAGGAGGCAGGTGACGGTCCCCGATCCAGGCGCCAATGCTGGCCCCGTTGTTTGGGCACTCTTGATAGCTAGGATTGGCGGGCGTCGTTTCTCCGCCGTCACTGCCTTCTACGGTCATGTTGCGCTTTGAATCGCCCGCTTGCTTTCGGGACAGCACGATCTGGCCCTTGCAGACCTTGAGGCCGAACTCATTGCCAGCCTCGAATACCTCGCCGAGCTTGCGTTTGAGGATCGCCTTGACCTTGCTGACGGAGGTGCAAACGACGAGGACAGTAGGTTTGGTTTTCTGAGGCGAGACGCCGATAGACTCGAGGGAGATTTCAACAGTTTCGGGATACTTGCGATAGAAATGACGCAAGGCCTGATTGACCTGCGGCATGACGGTCGTGTGCCACTTTTCAATGGCATCAGGGGAGAGTGGCACATTAGGGTACAAGCGCTGCTTGGAAGGCTTGACCGAGGATTGCTCGACTGTCGAAATCTCAAAATGTGGACTTTGTAGTGCATGGGGAGAAGGGTTCTTACGTTCAGCGTCGCGCTTCGCAAGAAGAGCTTTCTCGGAATCCATGGCAGGCGCTGGTTCCGGAACGGGAACACGAGCGATCTGGACCTTCATCTCATCCGACGCTGTCTGGCGGGCCTGAATCTGGGTCGCCGGGCCTGCTTGGGGAAGCCTGCGTCAAGATTGAGGATGTCGTGTCGCCGAGATCCCGACCAAGACGCTCGTCCAGGCCGCTGACGCCGTCCAAGATACAGCATGCCTCCAGGTAACGGCTTGCCTTGACCTGAACATTGGCCAAGAGCTCTTCGCCAACGACCTTGCCAGCGAGTTCCTGATCAACAGCATCCCAACAAACCTGCACGGCCTTCACATAGAGGGTGCCGCAGCGAATGGCAAGCTGTTCGAGGATGGATTCCGGAATGGAGGGCGACAGCGGGTCTGGCACAAGGTATTCCAGGCGTGTCCATAACCCGATGGACGTCAAGATCATGGCCAGTGAGTACAGGTCGAGGATCCTCGAGTCCGTCCGGTCGGTGATTGGACCAGCAGGTGCTGTGCGAGGGTCCAGAGGGTGGCGATAGAGTTGGATGAACGGAACCTCCTCATGATCAGATGGCGCATCCGGAAAGAGATCAAATGAAGAAATCAAAGGCCGGCGAATGTCGACCTCACTTGTTGAGTCCGGCCTGTCAGGGGTATGCGTGTTACAGAACGTGACGTTGCGGTCAAGGATGTTTCCGTGGGTGATGCCGCGCGCGTGGAGGTCGAAGACGGTATTAGCAAGGTTGTTGGCTAGGCGGAACTTGGCCTCCAGCCTGGGTTCGAAGTCCGGGCGCATCAGTAAATCGTTCAGTGTGCACAGGTTGTCTATGGGGTTACGGGTGTTGCTGTCCTGACGGATGGCATTGAAGGTGGGCGGAAACTGATAGACGAGACCAAGGCGGGAGTATTGGAGATCTTCAAAGTAGCCCAGTAGTCGGGGCAGTCCTGTCCAAGCACCGGGAGCTCTTTGCGACTCACGCTGCAGGCCTGCAGAGAGTTTTTCGAAACGAGCCATGGGGGGCATGATGCCAGTGGTGGCATAGACGGGGTCGAACTCGGCGAATTCGAGAAGGAGAGGGCCGGATGGCTGGGGCCCGATCTGCTTTCCAATGGTCGCCAAGGCCTGTCTGCTCATCAAAACAATATCCCGAGTAGCGGCAGATTGGGTAATGGGCATGGAGTTCAGGTTGGTTAGTGACGATGGGTCGATTTGTTGGGGTGTTTGCATGCGAGTCGACTCAAACGAGCGCAGATCCTCTGCGGATGCCGTGGATTTGGAGAGCTTCGTACGGCTTGACGGTGCAGAAAAGGCGCCGGAAGAGCGGGTTCTAGACAAGTCGTAGAGCGTGTCGACAGAGGTGGTGAGGTCGCGAATGAGATCCTCAAAGCGGCCTTTGTCCCATGCGACGATTGGAATCTTCTTGTCGCCTGAAGACTTTTCGGACGCCTTACCGCCGCTGACAAGGGCTTTTGAGCTCTGCCATAGTGGCTCGGCCTCGGCGACAATATCGTGAATAGTCGAGAGAATGCTGCCAACGACCTCGCTCAGACCGGCCTTGGAGAGCGACTCGTCGATTTCTTCGGTCTGGCTTGGATCGGACCATTCCATTCCCCAGCTTACGAACCGATCCTTCTGGATTCGCAGCTTCCTGTGAAGGGCCTTGATGTCAGGGTCCTCGGCATTTTGAACGGGTTGGGTGAGGAAGTCGGATGACTTCTTGGTGTCGTTATAAAGCCGGCTTAGTCGCCGGTGCATGGGTAGCTGATAGCCCCCAGCTGGAAAGACTGAGTCCATAGTTGACAATGATATGGTTCAAAAAGGAAAGAGCTGTTGAACGCTGTGTTTGGTACCAGAGGAGGCGTATGTCATTGCAGGGCGAGCATAGTCGCGAAAGGTATCCGGGTGTTTGGCGTGGGCGCGGACACCAGTTCTGATGGGCGCGGCTGTTGAGATCGTCAGACGCAACTCGGCGGGGACCACGCCAAGATCTTTAATTGAACACAGTTTGCCAGGTGTGAGGTGAGTGTGATGATGAGGCCGAGTGGCAGTGCTCTTTGGGGAGTGTCGCAATGTGTTGATGATGGGATCTGGTGGTGGTGGTGATGATGAAGAAGAGCCTGCTTCACAGAAGAGACAGAGGGAGTGTATGAGAAAGGAATAATCCTGGTGCCTATCGTATGGCCAAATGACCCGAATGCTGTCTGTGGCAACGATGAAGAGGTCCCTGGGGGTGGTGTCTTGGACTCGTGGTGAGAGGACCTGAGGATGTCGTCGTCGCGGCGGCTTTGGCGGGGCTGATGCGAGGGGCGAAAGCTGCTGCCTGACGCCAATCTGTTGGCCACGTTGTGATTGGCCGTCAATTCGGAAGCCTGCAGGAGTGGGGCCGGGGCTGGTGGAGCACAAAGCTTGCTGAGGTGCACTACTAATGCAGCAGAGCTTACGTGGGAGGCTCGTGCAAGGCTCGTGCTGAGAGCGAGACCGAAGGTTCAGTCACGTGCGCCCATACTTGGTCTATTTGGTCATCCCTTGCGACAATGCCCTAGGCACCAGGTAAGCTCAGTGAGTCAGGGGTTCAAGGTAAAGACACGATCAATGGCGGTTGATCGGATGTTGATCGGATGCTTTGATAAAGAAAAGCACAAGTCATTGAACGCTGAAACACAGGGACGCTGCACGGAGGCCTGAAACATAAACGCATCAGACTGACCCTGACTCCGGCTCTCCATATGGCGCATCACCAGTGAGGAGGGCCCAGTGCATCGGCCAGAAGCGGGTTCCGGGTTCCCGATACTGCTGCCTACCATACAGTTTGCTTCAGAGGTATGATGGAGAAGCTTTCGATCGCTTAGCTTGGGGCCCAACACACCACACGGCCTTGAGCCACCACCTCCACGATGAAGACTTTTGATATTACCTCTGGTCCTGCCCACACGGCAATGGTCAAAGAGGTCCATGGAAGTTAGACAGCGCTTATTCATTTGAGCATGCGTACTCCTCAGTCAACTCTTGCAAGCTCACGGAGCTCCTTCATTCCTGGCAGCTGTTCCGCGGGCTCCATGGCATCAGCCACATATCGAAATTTCCCCTAAATGGCTGCCTGGATCTCCACTCGGCCGGAACTGTCCACAAAATCCGACAGAGAGAAGGATGTCAAGAGCTTAATTATGGGCGCTAGGAGCCCGAGATTGCTCAAAGCTTACAGGCCACACAGGCATCCATGTGCTTCGGCGGCGGCGTTTGCTGGCGTCGTACTGGAAATTCAGCGCAAATTTCCACTCGGCTGACTGAATCGTGTTCACTGCAATCCGACAAGGAGAATTGAGCAAAACAGCACACAAATTTGGCCATTCGGCTGGCGGTAATTGGTAAATGTGCCCCCAGCTGACAGTCATAGCATTAGGAGCCTGGGCCATGCCATCTGAATGATGTCGTGATAAGCAAATACGTGCTTACATTGCATTGGAAATCTCGGATTCCCGCTACGATGCATTGATTTTGATCATAATAAGCATCAAAATGGGTGTGTTATCACACCCTGACTGTGACAAGGGTCTCTCGCATTGGCCTACTTTCGGCCCCATCGTCATCGTGCTCTCAACGTGCAGGCGAAGGAGCTCTTGCCTCGTAAGTGGCAGCCTAGCTGGCCTTAAACTGTGGACGACGACTGCAGCCAAGGCTGCTGCAAATGCCACATCGGATACTACGGGAGCACAGGAAATTCATAAGTTGCTGCCTGCGTCTCGTCAAAAGCGTGTGTCAAATGACCCTCCGACTGGTCAAGCTAGGCATGCCAATAGCCAGACCACGCCGCGCCACTGAGTTCTGATGGATGCAAGGCAGAAGTGAATAAAATAACTGTGAGAAATTCTTCCATTTATCTTCTGAAACAACCTCTGGACAACGATCGCTTCGAGCAGTATGCCAGGGACTCGTGATCTCGTGGGACGTATCGAGCCCGAGGTAATGTGGCAGGAATAAGCGAAGCTATCCAAACCCATAACAGCCTAGGATCTAAACATAATGGATTACTTAACGAGTTAACGAGAAATGAAATTTGGCTAGGGTTCTTGAAGCTACTACTTGCTACAGTTCCGCGTTACTGCCTGGCGGGGTTGCCTCGGTGTGTCCGTGAAATAAAATGCCACTCGTAGTCAGTTGCGCTGTAGAGGTTTTCAGCATTCATGTGTTTGCCTCGGAGATACTCTATTTTCTATATCAAGATAGATTTGAAAGGAATATCCTGCGGAAACAAAGATTCGGATGCCGCACAGCGCGAGTTAATCACGACATGAAGTGACTGTAAAAGGGTCACGTGGGGTTTGGATATATCTACCAAAAGTATAGTAAGTCTGGTCTAGACTTTGCCAAATCTTAGAATCGGTGCTCAAGATTATGACATCCATTTACTGGTGATTCAACTTTATGGTAGGTAAGTACGTGTCGATAATTGCAACACTCCTTCGATGCAATCGTCAATGGCCATAACTGCCTCCGTCTGCGCAATGCCAATACCTGAGTAAACTCCAAGACGGTGTACTTCGAGGCTGACACAAATAGGCGAACTCTCGACGCCATGGATTAAGGCAAAGCTTCAACACTGAAGTACAGCATCAGATCGAAATAAAATCACTCAGCCATCGCCTGGAAAACACAAGTTGCGCGCCTCAGCCGGGCGAGTAGACGAATCTCGGTGAGACAGCCCGGTCTCTTTAAAATGTTGGCTCGAGTGGGTTAACAGTTTCACCAGGTGAAAAGGCATGGGTTCAGTTGCTCCTTCGATGAAACAATTAATCAAGTTTGACCGCTGTCGGCATTCGTTTGAGTACAATATTCAGCTCACCGGCGTGATTTCGCATGGCCACGAATATGAGATTGGCGGAATTCCAGAAGGATCAAGCGTGAGAAGCACGCTGATTCGCTCATCTGACCGAACTGAAGTCGCGGGGTCGACCACAGTTTTCGTATACGTAGATATCCCCAATTGAGTTACACCTCAACAACACTACTAGCTTGGCACAAAGTTCTGAACTGTGAGTAGTTAGATCATACGTCTCATCTGCCTCTTATGCCTTTCTTTGATAAAGCGTCGCTAACAGTCTCCTGGGATCTATGAAAACGACCATTCACGCGCCCTGGTTTTACCCCGCAATGGAATACATCATCCTTCCACGCTCTCTCCCCTCCGAGGAACAAAATGATCGACTGGTCAATAAATACAAGGACTTTCGGCTCTTCTCGATGGCTCAGTCTCCTGGCAGCTTCGGATCGACACTTGCAAGAGAGGAGTCATTCCCCCGAGAGACATGGGTGTCTAGAGTAACGAACCCGCTGGCGACCATCTTGGTTGCTGTTGCGCGAACTCCGGACTTGGATAGTCCGCCATCGGAAGGAAACCTCGAGTTGATAATGGGGCAACCCTGGCTCGCATCGCTGACGCTCGTGGGGCCGCTGGACCCAGCTAAAGCCGAGGAGATGTATGGGAAGGCAATGAATATTGCACCCGGAATGGCAAGTTTTGGCCCTCCTGAAGATGCCACTGGAATAAAATGGCAGTTCGCTTTGAACGCTATGTATGTCGTGCCTGAAGGTAGGGGTAGAGGATTGGCCAAGGGCATCGTCAAGAGTGCAGTGCAGCTTGCGATCAGTATGGGGGAGGGCGAGGGTGTGAGGGTCATTCTCCTTGTTGATTATGATAACGAAGCTGCTAGAGCGGTGTATAAGAGTTCTGGATTCGAGGTCACGCATAGGTATTGGTTTGACGATCACCGCGTGGGTAGGAGTGGTCAGACGGAAGCAGCGGTTATGAAGCTGGACACAAGCGGCCGATGTAGCAGATAAGCATTGTAGCAACCCACTACCTCAACCTCGAGCAGATGATGCTCTAAGAAAGTCACCGATCACAACAGAAAACCATTCACGGTAGATTTGAGGCGACGGTTGCCGTTCAAACTAGAGGGAAATATCATTCGGCTGCCTAGAGAAATCTCGTAGGCCAGGGTCGATGCCATGGATAATGGTGCCTCCTCTTCTACAGTTCAACGTACGAGCGTAGGTTGAATCATCTAGAGCATCGATGACTGCTTGCGGTGTCTCAAATTCCACGAGAAAGATCATGACACATTCGCGGAACTCGCAAGTGGCACGCCAGTCGTGCGACGAAGTGACAGACTCTCGGATGAGAATTCGTTATGTATATGAAGTGTTATGAATGGAATGGACTGTCAAGGTATGGGCTTGACTACAAATATGTACTCAGAAATCTGACTCCTTGCTTCTGCGGATGGCGCTCCAAGAGCATTGCAGTCACGCTGTTACGCTACCCCTAGTTGCCAATGCGACCAACACCATAGTTGGCAAGGACGTGACCCTTGACGTCACCGTAGCGCAGAGGCTGCACGAGGTTGGCCTTGTACTTACCAAGCTCGGTCAGCACACTGTTGTCCTTGCGCGCCGTGATAGCGCCCGAGGCGGTGATGGCGTTAGCCTCGCAGTTGCGGCCGAGGTAGGATGCACAGTTGGTGCGCGACGCGTCGTCGGGAACGTTGTAGACTTTGCCGGTGCTGCTGGCTGGGGTCATGGGCTGCGGCTGATTTTCAAGGCGGTTGCCCTCGATGAGGACGCGGGCGCCAGCAAACGAGATGTCAAAGGCGTGGCCGGTGTTGTAGTTGTAATAGTTGTTGACGGCCTGGATGATCTGGGTACCAGACTCGGAGCCAATCTTGGGGGCGCGACCCGAGACGTCGTGGAGGTAGTTCTTGTCGAAGGTTATCTTGTCGAGCTTGCCGACCATCATGATGGTCCAGTAGTGCTTGTTGTTGCAGGTACGGGAGTAGCTGGTCTTGCCGTCGAACTCGTTGTTCGAAAGAGTGGCCGTGTTGGCGTCGAAGCTGGGGTAACGTCAGTAAACGATTACGGTATAGGAATATGGGGTGAACTGACTGCGAAACGAACATCTGGCGACCAACGCGCGTGAACTGTAAAATCTTGAGTCAAAAAATGCCCACAATCCTCAGAATCATGACAATTACACACCTTGTTGTGGTCGATCCAGACGCCATTGTTCTGACCCTCAAGGCTGATGCCATCGCCACCCCAAATGTGCTGGGGGTTCAGGTTCTGATCTTACAGTCAGCAATCGACACTTTCAGAAGACCGGCAAAAAATCCTACATCAATGTGGAGGTTCTGGATGATGACATTCGAGGCTCCCTTCTTCAGACGCAGACCCTTGCCGTGCAGGACGCCCTTTTCCCAACACCGACAATCGACTTGTTGCTGCCGACGATGATGCCCACTGTGCCAGCCTTGTCGTACGTGACCTGAACAGGGGTCTGCTCGCTGTCGCAGTCAGGCTTGATCCAGTCCTGGCCACCGTTGAGGAACGTGCAGACGTTCTTGTTGCGGCAGCCCATCTCGGTGACGCTTCCCTCGGAGCCGATGAAGTTGAAGGTCTTGTCAATGCGAATCACGCGGGGAGTATCATCCCCGAGCCATGATTTAAGCCTGGATGGATGTCAGTCTTGGTACACGCCCTGCGCAACAATGGTTCTTACTGGGCAATGTCCTTGGGGACAGCAGGCGTGGCGGACCCGCCGCCAGTGACGCCTGCAGCGAAACCGTAGGCCTTGCCAACGACCTGAGCAAAGGACAAAGTTGGCGCTCCAACGAGGAGCGCAATTGTGGTGAAGTGCATATTTGGGAACTTGGATGCGATGAAACGGGAAGAAAGTGCAAAGACGGATGCCAAGAAATGAATAAAAAGAGAGCGAATGGGTTGGGAACGAAGCTCGAACATGACGAGACATGAGCAGCTGTCTCCTCCGTCGCTTTATTAACAGCTTCGACCCAGCGTCTTGGCAGTTGACAGTAGTACTAGCACCGGGCAGGGCCCATGATCAGATTACTACATCGAGAACTCCCGGCATGCACAATAGGGCATTCAAGCCGGAACATTGATTCTTGACCCTGCAAGTCAAAGTGCGGAGAAATAAACTCATGAGTTTTGAAACCTAAGCGCTCGTGCCAGGGCCATAGCTTCCAGCCTCTCGGGGCGATTGGGTCCGATGTCATGCTCTAAATGGAAACTTGGCCGGGGTGTCGAAAGGGGCGGGAGATGAAAGGGCTGGACGAGTGGGTTTTTGGCACCGCTGAGCTTATCGAAAGGAGCGGACGCGTCTAGGCCGAGTCGGTCCACGAGTGCAGGGCTGGCTCGGAATAAGACTGGCTTTGTTTATCTCCGATCTATTGGCACTTCGCTCCCATGTTGAAAAGGTTTCGAATGCAGTCAGTTACTGTGTCGTGAGACGAATTTCGCTCACATGACAGTAACAGTAGCGGAGACGAGAAGAGGTCCCCAAGTCTAGACACGATCTGGTGTGAACTTTCAGCGACCAAGGGTGATGTGGGTGTCATGTGAGGCTTCCTCTTCGAAGGACAAAGTAGCACGTCGAGTTCGCTGTTCGTGGCTCTCATCGCCGTTTTTAATAAGTAATCCGTCATTCATTACTGCCTGGCTGTTCCCATCCAGCGGATCTCATGATAAGGTATACACTCATAAAAGACATGATAAAGGACACTCTAAGGAACACAGCTCCGCCAAACTAACGTCAAAATATGACAACCTTAACTTGTTGCATCGCTTACAGAAAGGCAAAGAAACGCCAGCCCCGCGAATCACCATCTTTTCCCTTCCCCATCACGGATCTCGTCCACCTAGTGGAGAGCCCCGACCACGTTCGGAACGTTACGTGAGCGTGTCTGGTCTCCCTGTCACAGCCCGAATTGAGAGTAGAGGCCATGTGTGTACTGTATACACAAACACATCCCTGAAATTGGGGTTTCGCGTGTATGATCCCAGTTCTGGCTAGCAATTGTGTTGTCGCTCACATGGAGTCAACGGGTTTGCTGCTGCTGCTGATATCCGAGGTCAATGGCTCACAGCTCGTCGCGTCGGACGCCGTCTTTCACGGCGTTGGCAGCGGCATTGACCTTCTCCTTAGCTGCATTGACCGAGTCGCCAGCCGCAGCGGTGGCCTCGTTCAAGTAAGAGGCGGCAGATGCGGCGCCCGTAGCGTAGGCAGCTTGGAGACGTGCAAGAATGCTCTCAGAGTACGATGGCTCTTTGCCCTTGATGAGCTCCTGCACAATGTTCTGGACGACCTCGTATTGCTTGGCAGCTTGCTCTGAGGCTTGTGCGGCGTACTTCTCAACGTCGGAGTACGCGTTGCCGTACCAAGCCGTGGGGGTAGGCGCGCCATACACCTGAACGCTCAGATGATTGACGACATTCTCCCAAGTGTCGACGACACCTCGCTCAACGGCTTCGGCAGCATCGAGGACTTCCTGGGCTGCCGCATTAACAGTGTCTCCGACGATCGAGACAGCGGCCTCGAACCCTTCGCTGACGTAAGACGCGACGGACAGGCCGTCCTCTTGAGCACCGGATGCAACCGCATTGGCAGAAGCGGTAGCAACAGAAGCAACAGACGACGCGGTACCGGCTAGATTGGTGGGGGTGGCCGTGGCGGTGAGAGAGCTCATGGCAGCGGACGCCGCAGAGAGGAACTCCGAGTAGCGGGCGTGAGCAGCACCCAGGCCGGCGTAATAGTTGTATTTAGCCTGGTCCAGGAGCTTTTCGGTTGAGGCAGTCGGTGTGGCCGTGGCGAGGCCCAGAGCAATCTTGGCAGACTCGTACTGTTCCTCAGCCCAGGCACGGCCCTCCTGCAAGCGTTGAGACGCCAATGACTCGACCGAGGCCCAATCGTATGAGGGAGAGGCGGTAGCAGTGGGGGTGCCGTAGACACGCCTCGACGCAGCTTCCAGAGCTTCGCTGAGGCGGGAGTTGGCTGCGTCCATAGCTCCGGCGTAGGCACCGGAGACGGAGGCGAACATCTTCTCTTGCACAGGCTCCGGCTCCGGAGTGCCGTAGAGCTGGGCAGACACAGCTGACATGGCGAGAGAATACTTCTCAGATGCTTGAGCAACAGCGTGGGAGTAGGCCTCCTGTGCCTTTCCGGAAAGCGTCTCAACTGTGCTCTCGTCATCGTCGAGGATAGGTCCTTTGCGATTAGCGACCGACTGAGCGGCAACACCAAGGAAAGCAGGTTTGACTGTCTCTGTCTCAGCTGAGACGGGTCGGTCCTCCACAGATTCGGGGATGATTTCTTCCTCAAGCTGCTCCTCAAGATGCTCCTCGGCCTTTTCCTCGGGAGCCACAGGCTCCTGGGCGTCGTCTTCGGCAGGCGATGAGCCCGTGTTATTGACGACGAAGGTTTGATCATCCCCCTCAATCACTGTTGAGGCCAGATCGTCGTGGGGAGAGGCGCTCCCTGCAATGATGGTAGAGCCATCGCTGATAACGCTGCTGGCCGCTTCAGAAGCTTGGGAGACCACGGTCTCAACAATGCTGGAGGCCGCGTCGGTCGCACTGCTGACCTGTGAGGGAATAGATTGTTCCTCAAGGAGATTGTCGGCGGGCGACTCATCTTCGAGGACACTGGCAGCAGCTTCAAGCGGGTCATCCTGGGCTGCGGACAAACCTTCAACAGGAAGGTCAGTGGCCGTAGACTTGTCCTCGATAACGTGAGCAGCGTCTTCGCGAGGATCGGCCTCGGGGGCGGAGCTGGCATCGGCGATGGCTTGAGCAGCCTTGGACTCCTCTGCAGCGCGAGATGCCTCAGCCTCGGCCTCCGCAGCTCGAGACTCCTCTGCAGCACGAGAAGCAGCGGCAGCTTGCGCGGCAGCAAAGGCAGCGACCTTGGCCTTCGCCTCTTCAGCAGCCTCAGAAGCGGAACGCATGGCATCGCTATCAAAGTTGGCGGACGAATCACCAGCGACAATCTTCCAAAGGCCGACCTGCTTGAGCCTGACAAGTTCCTGTGCCGCTGATTGCGCAGCTGCCATACCGGAGTCCTCGATCTTGCCAGAAGCTTCGCGAGCATCCTCAAGTGCCGGATGGGTAATGATAAGCTTCTTGAGGTCGTTGGTCCACTCGTCAAAACGGTCCTTGAGTTCGTGGAACTTGGCCCAGTCCTTGTAGGTCACGCCATCCATCCAAGCCCACTTCATGCCAATGCGCTGCAGGGCCAAATCGCGGATGCTGTCCAGGATCTTGAAGTGAGACTCAGCGGCGTCGGTGATGGCCGCCTCCATGTCGAGCTCGAAGCTCTCCTTCCAAGCACGGATCTCTTGGGCCTTCTCCTTGACGGCTAAACCAGCACGTCTAACGGCAGCGTTCAGGTCCTGCTCACCGGCCTCACGGTCGACGCCCGCGTTCTTGACAATCACCATAATGTCGTTCTGCAGAGCCTCAACCTCAGCCTTGGACGTGGCCTGGAGACCCTTCAGGAGGCTGGCGCCGATGTTGTCAACGTTCTCCTTGACCATGCGCTGCGATATCTCCTCGATACGGTCTTCGATTTCGCTGGCACCCTCGTCAGCTGCCTTGGCGAACTTGGTCTGCCAGTTTTCGAGGTCCTCCGCAACGGTTTCACGGGTTGTCTTGCGGAGATCAGACTCGTTGGCGTCGGCGGGCGGCGCAACAACTTGCTCACTGGCGTCATGCTTGGCTACCTTGACAGCGTCCGGAATATGGGTGGCGCTCTCGACCTTGGATGTGGATGCAATGCTCGACGAAACGCTGGACGTGGCCGATGATACCGCCGAGGACGCAGGCTTGACGAAAGAGGAGGCTTCGGAAATGATGCTACTTATGTCTTTAGCTGGGGGACATGGAGAGTGGGCGAATACAGAGCTGTCTTACCCTTCCTGCACACTTTCAGCAGCGGCCTTTGACTTGTCCTTGTAACGCCCGAGACGCTGTCCAATCCTTGCAAGCTGCGGCTCGACGTTTTTGACGTACAAAACACGTACTTGAGGCCAGACAGTCGTATCAAGGAAGACGAATGTCTTGTTCCATGCCCAGTTCGCAGAAGGAATTATTGTGTCGGTGGTGAATTGAGAGGCTGCGTCGTAACCCTGGACGGCGTAGGGTTGCACAAGGATGTATGAAGGAAGCAAAAATTCATGATAGGTCTGGAGAGCGCTGGTTCGAGCAATATCATAGTATGGAGTTGCTGCTTCGGACAGCTTGGCGACGTGAGGAGCCACCGTCTCGCCATACTTATCAGCGGCGGCCTTCTGATAAACAGCAAGTTGGGGGGAAACGTTTTGGGACCATTGAGCTTGGCCGTATGCTTGGGCCTGGCGTAGAGTAGGCGCACCGTACTTGGTGGCATAGCCCTTGACTGGAGTCAGGACGCGCTCGTTGGCGATGTTGTAGTATGGCTGGGCCAGCTCCACGTAGGGCGCAGCGTACGTTTCGTAGTAAGGCTCGACGTGAGGTGCCAAGACATTCTTCGCTTGGAAGTAGGTGCGGCACGCGAGAGGCGATGACTCGTTGCAGTCTTCTAACGTTGAAGGGCATCGGAAAAGAACTGTGATGATAGTCCACCAGGTTGCGATCCTAATGATGGGTTCAGTCAGAAAGTGTCGAAGCCCAGTCACGGAGATACGTCATTTTCTTCAACATACCTGGCAAAGATGCTGAACAAGCGACCGACCAGGCTGGGGCCCTGACGCGGCGCGTTCTTCTTGACACCAACAGAATGGCCGTTCATCTTCCCGTTTGGTGTTTTCGAATAGCCCGTTGGTGTGGCTGCTGGAAACCTCCATGGCGGAGGTGCGGTGAAGCGAAAGCTTCGCCTGCAGGAGGGAATCACGTCGTGTGGTGGATTCTTGTCGTTATCGCTCTCTCGGTCGGCGACGATACTGAACGTCAAAATAGAGGCGGTCACTCCAATCTGATTTCCGCGTAGCTGTGGAACTTTGTCAGTTGAAATTTGGACCAAAAGGACTTCCTGGCTGCGCAGGATGGAGTATTCGGAAGACAGCTTTTTTTCACTGTCGCGAGTGCAGAAGGATGGGTGATCCCTCTCTGCATGGGCCAGACCAGCAACACTCGCATGCATGCGAGGCTGGAACGACAGAAGTGGGTCACGGGGAGCTTCCTTACCCTGTTCTGTGCCGAGATGCAACGTCGGATGGACGATGCGACGACTGCTGGGTTCGCCTGATGTTTCGAAATGGAAAGCGTCCAACGTTGACAGAATCCCCGAACGGTTGTTGAACGGGTTTCGAAATGCGAAGATGATTTGGATAGGGTGAGGTTGCGAGATCAAGCCCGGTCGGCAGCACAAAGAAGACAACGCCCGAGAATTCAAGGCACAAGCATGAAAAGCATGTGGTCAGGGAGCTTCTTCCTGCACGCTGAGGTAGCGTGCTCACCCATGGCTTCCCAAGGCCAGTCCCTTCACGGACCCCACTCCTGTCCAAAACGCCCGAGCTGTAACGAGGCTTGCCAGGCCAAGTTTGGGGATGCGCTAGGCGAGGGATCAAAGTGGATCTCACCACCACCCAGGTGGCTAACCAGTGACCACTCAGCCACTCGTTCATCGTGGTTCAGACCGACGTCATCTCCGGGGAGCTTGTTCCTTGTGACATCAATTCATGTACCGCTCAAGTATTCAGATGGTTGCATCGCTCGATTGACTCGGTCTGCACCATCTTTAGTTGTGGTCATGCTGTTCCTATCTCTTCTTCACAAAAGCCTGTTATCGATACAATCCGATCACAACACAGATTCCTCGAAGTGCGACAGACTCTCCAACGGTCTGGTCTCGAGTTGATGCTGTGCAGCCTAGCGCCAGGATGTGGCCTGTTACAAGCCAACCGTGGATGTAGTTCGCCTTGATGACGTTTGCCTGCAGCTTATTTCGAGCCTTGCCTTTGGTCCTCCTGCATGTTCAGCACTCTGAAGATAGGAGAAGCGGCACACGTCGAGCCCCGTTTCCTCCCTCAGTTGTCTTGTCAGTTCCGCTTTTCGCATGATGAGCTAACTGTCCATGTATTGACCTAGCCGCGCGCCGAAGAGATGGCCGAAATGATAGTAAGAGCCTCGAAACAAAACAGTCGGCCGGCAGGTGGGACGCAGCGCCTGTCGACCTCTGTGCACTGGGCCAGTTGTGGCGCATGCCTCTTGAGACAAAGTTCATTCCGGATTGCACTTCAAAAGCACACGCTTGAATCAAACGTGATCTTCCTGATTTGGCTTAGTTGTAAGTGAGAACTACGATTTGGGACTGCTTGATGGCTGGTCGAGCTTCGTAGAGGCGAGAAGGCGATGCTGTCTTATTTTCAACAGGGGGCTGGAATGGTCTTGATGGATTGAAGCTCGAGCCAGGTTCCGGTCCATTGCCGTAGAGAGTCACGTGTGTTGAAGCGTGAGATGTTTCTTATCGGATCGCGACTCCCTTATCGCTACATTTCGGCTCCTGTGGATTCGTCGGGAACCGCCACGCCGACTACTTGCTGTCTCCAACCTTATTACCTAGCTGGTACCTTAGGTAGCTGTCAGAGCCGCCCTTCAACCTGCCTGACCTCAACCTCCCAGCTACATACTTTCGCGGATTGACAGCCTTCGCTCGATAGCCATCAGCGGTCGACGTCTTGGACGTCACTTGTCCCGCCCACTCTCGAGCGACGCATCGCGGTATTCGACCGACCCCCTCCGACATCACGGAATCGACGACAACATCCACATTTTCCGAAAGATCGCGCGCCTGAGCTGACCGTGTGACTTGCCCGGCAACGCTTGCTTGTCAGTTTTCCGACAATAAAAAGCAGCAAGTCCCATGACTCCATAATTCGTCGCCAGTTGCCGGCGATCAGTTTCGACCCCTCGAAAAGCTACCTACAACATGGCGGACCCGGCAATAGAGCCCTTCATGGCTGCCGACGCCCTTGCACATCCTCGCCGTCGACTCTCCGCATCAACAACGGCTGATCAGGGCCGGCCGAAGACCTCACTACCCGAGACCAACAACCTTGATCCAGACACTTGCAGGATATGCCGGGGTGAGGCGACGCCCGACGAACCGCTTTTCTACCCCTGCAAATGCAGCGGCAGTATCAAATATGTGCACCAAGAGTGCCTGATGGAGTGGCTTTCGCACTCGCAGAAGAAACACTGCGAGCTGTGCAAAACGCCATTCCGCTTCACTAAGCTGTACTCGCCTAAAATGCCGAACACACTCCCCGTCCATGTCTTTATCGGCCATGTAGCGAAATACCTTTTTCGGAACATTTTGACGTGGCTGCGGGCCGGCTTGGTGGCAGTGGTCTGGCTCTGTTGGCTCCCTTGGCTCATGCGTTCTGTCTGGTCGTTTCTGTTTTGGCTGAGCGACGAAGGCCTTGGCGGTGGACAATTTTGGATCCCCGCCAACATCTCGGCATCGCATCCCGGACACCCATACATCGGCTTGAAGTACCTTGACGCCTGCCCTCTTAACAAGTCCGCTTACAAGTCAGCCATGAGTCCGAATCTTGGCCGCAACATGAATGGACTCTTGCAGACGCATTCCACAGCACCTTTCTCCGGGTCATGGCACGGATTCGACATCACCACTGATGACTCCTTGACCGCAGGTATGCTGAGGCTCTTTTTCGGGTCCATGCCACCCTCCTTCACAGTGAGCCATAGCATCCCTGGGGCTGCTACGTCCTTGGATCCGCATGCGTCCCTCCTGAGTAATGTTTCGTTCCTTCGAAACTTTTCACGCTATCCTGTACTGAACCGGACGATCATCAACATCTTCGAGGGTCAGATCATCACCATTTTGGTCATTATCTGTTTCATTCTTGTCATCCTGGTCCGTGACTACGTGGTTCAACAACAACCCGAGATTAACATGCGAGCTGCTTTTGCTGCTAATGAGCAGGAGCAGCACCAGCACCCGCACCAACATCAACACGAGAATGATGAAGAACAGCGAATGGCCGCACAAGTAGAGAATCTTCCGGGGCCAGATGATGATTGGATTGACCAAGACGACGACGGATCTGCTGCAGAGTGGCAAAATCAGGTGCTCGACTTACCTTTTGGGAACATTGGCCCGCGCTGGGAGCAGGATAACAGTCAAGCCGAGGGTTCCAACGGGCCTTTTGTCCAACCGCAGCCTCAATCAAGCGCGGAGGAGCAGGCCGAAGCTTCAGAGTTAGTGAGTGATACCCTGGCGAATCTTGCCCCGTCTCCGATCCAAACCTCCGATGGTTTAGACACGGAGCAGCCACAAAGCCCCGTAGCTACGGTCCATGAGTATCTGAGAATCTATCGGCAATCGAACGGAGATCCGCACCTGATTCTCCAAGCTATTCGGGATGAGGGCTTAGAGGACAAGCTTGGATACTGGGCCCGTGTCACCAGGTCCATGATTGACAAGACGAATGGCAATCCGCCCCAACAACCCAGCAATGAGGAAGGGCAACATTCCCGAGGACATAGATGGGCTGATGGGCCACCAGGGGAAGAACCCCCAATTGTACAGCTTCCTCTACCTTCGACGCCTGAATTCGCTTGGCATGGCGGCATGACGAGTGCCAATGCCGATTTTTCGGAGGCCAAGGGCAAAGAAAAGGAAGATGAGGTGTTCGAGGAGTCTCAAGATTCGCTCATTGCTTCCGGGGCATCTTCATCGTGGAACAACACTCTGAGGCCTCGGTCTGTCTCGGATGGGCCACAGAGAGCGGCTACCGTCAACCCCCTGGCCAACAACAGCTGGTCGTTCTCGGCCTTGCCAGCTGATGCTCCTGCACGCGGAAACGCATCTTCACAGGAGCTTCCACAGGTAACTGAACAGCCCGATGATGCGTGGGAGAGGACTGGCGCACCAAGAACGCCGACTCCAGTTGACTGGACCTGGACGCCTGCCGCAGGAGAAGACACCGAGGAGCTCGAAGCACAACTTGACGCCTCGAACCTAGACGATGTTAGCACTGCGGCCTCAGCATCAGGTTCCGCACATGCTGCCTTTGAACACCTCGAGCTCGACCATGCCAGTCTCGATGTAAACCCCGATGGCGTAGACATTCGCGAACAGGAGCCTGGCGTGGCAAATGCTGGCGACATAGCGGTGCCTCAACGACCCCCTCTGCAGCGCGGCGTCATGGATCGCCTTGCTGATTTCATGTGGGATGGCATCGAAGCTCGAGAGCTAGACATCGGAGCTGGCCATGCTGACATTCTCGACGCTGATCATGTTCACGGTAACGTTGGTGATGACGAGCTTTTCGAAGAAGCGATCCCTCTGGAAGGCGACAACCCTGACGACTTTGAACGCGATCCAGAAGTTGTCGAGGCGGCAGTGGCAGCGGGCTTGGATCCCGAAGCCATGGATGACGCGGAAGATATCGAGGGCGTACTGGAGCTCATTGGCATGCGTGGACCCCTCGTGGGACTGTTCCAAAATGCTGTATTCTGCGCAGTCCTGGTCTCCGTCACCATCTTCATCTGCGTCTTCATTCCTTATAATATCGGGCGCGTCAGCGTGTGGGCGGCAATGAACCCGATGCGCTTGGTTCGTATGCTGTTCAGCTTCACGAAGTTCATTCAAGATCTTGCTGTCGCTCTCGTGGCGGGATTCTGTAGCCTGCTATTGGGTGCCATGTTCATGGTTGGCAACGCTCTAGGACTGTGGTTGCCCTCAGCGCGGCGGTCCTGCGAGAACCTTATGGCTCACACTTGGAATCTATCAGACCATGCAGGCAAGCGAATCCTCGAGAGTCTGAGTGGCGAACTTCCCCTGATATCTGCTACGGAGATGCAGAATTTCTCTGCCATCAGCCATGAGGCATTGCAAACGCTGAAGAGTCAAGTCGCGGCCCTGTTCGTCGGCGTCGGGGCTGCTTTAGACGTAGTCTTCGACGGAAAACTCCCCAGCAAGGCGTTGCACTTCATCATTTGGGCAGGCAAGGTTGGAGTCTCTGCCCTATACTTGATGCGTGATTTGCCGCACATTCTTCTCAACCCAGCCAGCTGGGTCATCAGTTTCGATGTCCCGGATGTGCCAGTCGGCGTTGACCCTGCGCTGGCATCATGGTCAGGACCCGACCGTTTCTGGGCCATTTTGTGTGGTTACCTCAGCATGTCTGGTGTAGGAGCGCTGTACCTGCGCAGAGGCACACCATTTTCGAACGGACAAATCGCCCAGGAATGGGAGGCATCGTTGATTGACCTCCTGAATCAAGCCAGCGGCGTCATGAAGGTCATCTTGATCATCAGCATCGAGATGCTGGCCTTCCCGCTCTACTGTGGCCTCCTTCTGGAT